AAGATTTTTTTTCCATAAATTTTGATGCACAAGTACTATATTAGTTTCAGTGATAGCATATTAGCTAAACAAGTAAAGCATGGTATAATTGTAAAAATAGTGTATGTTCGAAACTTACGTAGACTATCTCAATAAATGAACTAGTGATTTGTACAAAATGATAGCTACATGAATGAAGGAGATCATATAATTTCTCCTAAAAATATTTACATGATACAACTTATACAAGTATTCCCAAAAAAAGTAGTATACAAAATTTTGCAGGTTTACGCACCCATATTCTATCTCGTCCCCTAAAAGTACCACCAACCTTATGCCCTTATTCGTTCACTATATCTCATAGTCCTTACCACATTTCCCCGTGGTTGCTTGCAGGCAGCGGCGAACGCAGGAATTTCCGGTAGCAGGGGCGGCAGTACAAAAATATACATACAAATACATATACATTAAAAATTTCGGGGTAAATATAGCTTGAATTTTTTTTGGAGGGGCAGCAGCCCCCCTTTGTCACCCCCCTGTGTCCGCCACTGCTTGCAGGTGCTCATGATTTTCGTGTTCGCAATTATTTCAATTTATGAAATACATAGGGAGATTCGTTGTTTTAGTTGCGTAACTTTTTATTGTGTCTCCTATTGGTCATCAGAGCTGGCCATGAGGCTAGTTGACCCAGGCTCTCGCCTAGGGCCTCTCTCTTTAGGGGGGCCTCAATTTTTTTAAATATTAGTAGTACTAAAATTAAATTGATACTCCCACAGCAGCCGCCAGAGAGCTAGCCGTCGCCCGAAACCCCAAGGCTGGAAGGCCCCTAAACCCTCAACTACGAGACACAAAGCTTGTACCCAACTTTAATTTGTCAATCCCTGCAATTCCAATTTTTATTGCTTCCTCTGTGGCGTTGTTCTTCTTTCAAAGTTCTGAAATTCCGCCCTACCTCAAATCAAAGTTCGCACATACCCTTCCAAATGCATTCCGACCTTGACCTTCTTCACTTTCTTTCGCAAATGAGAACTTGGGGTTTTAGAATTTGGGTTGGGTGTTCTACAGAGTACATACTTGAGAGCACTTCTCAATGCTATTTTTGGTAATAATAAGAGTTGACTCATTAATTATTACATACACCTTTGATTAATAACTTAATGATAATTGACTAACTTTTAATTTGTGATAATGTTATTATATATTATTAGTCATTTATGTTTTACACTAATATTTTATAATAGTAATTGAATTAGTCATTGAGTTGTTTTCTTACTAATATTTCATAATTGTATATTGTAATTGAGTAATAGTCAATTTTAGCTTTTTTTTATGGTTTTTAGTTAATTATTATCTACAAATATGTTAAATATGTTAGTATTATCATGACTGATAAATGAAAATATGAGTCCAAATGTACAAAGAGGAGAAATAAGTCGAGAAGAAATTTGAAACATTGTTTCTCATATGGTGTATTTATATTAATTTTACTTTATTTTTAAGATTGTCTTATATAAATCACTTTATATAATACGTAGTATATGAAAATTAAGTGTTTATTTTCCGCCTATGGCCTCTAAAAGTCTAAGGCTGCCCCTGTTGGTCATATAGTTTTGTTCACTTGCAAAAATAATCATGTAACTAATTAATTTATCGACATTAATTAAAGACTTTTCTACCGGAAAGTAAATTTTTCGATAAAGGCAGACTTGAAAAGTCGCCGACATCAAATTTACCGCTGGAAATAGTACACTCAAGTGGAATCATTCTTAATATTAATTACAAGACTAAATCTGTAGGAGAGTAAAGTTACAACTTACAACACAAGTAAAATCTTTCACATGCATTTCTTAAATATTGAAGTACAATATTTTTAGGGTTTTAGGACATGTCAAATTTACCTGCCTCTTCATTCCTTAAAAGTATATAAAAAAGTGTTACAACAAGCTGGAGCACGGAGTACTTAAAAACCAATTTATTCGAAAATTGATATTTGTAAAGGAGAAATTAAAATCATACTTTTTGAGAATGAGTTTTTTGGAGAAGCTAAATTTAGTATAAATATTTGATCTACGGTTTTGCTTTGATAACTATTAAGGCTAGGAGGACAAATCTATACAGGTGAGAGCTCAATTATTACTTGAGCTTGTAATATCACCTGCTTGGGAGTTTCCAAGTCAAACAGAAAAGGCATCAACACTTTCAGCTATGGATATTCATTTCAAACGCATGCAGTTCCTTATGCTACAGATTGATTTAGAGATTCAGAAATTAAATGATAAATGGGAGCAGCAACAACATCGGGATCTCCCTAAGCTTTTGCAGGAGGTTTCCATGGATGTGTTTGACAAGGTTTCTAAACAAAAAATGATTTTATCGAGTTCTTCTTCCCCTGATTTTCTTCTTTTGCGGGAATTCTTTGTTGAGACACTCGAGGAAGGAATGGTTAAAAGGGCCATTTCAAAAGTTGGGGAAGACACTTTAAATGATTTTTTGCACGCTCTTGATAGCGATGGGGTAGATTTATATTTCCTCTTTGATGCTGCATCAGACTATCTAGAAGAAAAATACTCAGATCGCTCTACTACAGACATATTCCTTTACTCAATTCTAGAGAAAGTGACTCCAGGTACAACCGGCCTTACACGAAAAAACTTTAAACATCTTATGCGTAACTCGGGACCACATCAAATTCTAAAATACAAGCTACTCAAAGATTACCCTACCTACAAGGAATCTCCTATTTACAAGGATGCACTGATTGAACCTCAACCCGAGGAAGATGATGGTTTCACCTCTGTTGTCTCCAAAAGAGACAAAAAGCGTAATGTCCCCTCGGTTAGGACCGTTCAATCTCGACAACAATTTCTACGAGCTTAGGATGCTTTTGGGAGTTTCTTAGGGATTTTATGACAGGGAAGTGGGTTGATCTTCCTATGCTCTAGGATTTCTTTAGCTTGAGGATTTTCTATGGAACCGGAATAGTCTCAACCAGCTCTAAATCTTTTTTCTTTTGCACCATCTTTTTTCATTAGTTGTTTACTTCATTAGCTCTTGTCTCTCATTATTGTCGGAGTTCAGTCCCATGTGGCTGAACTCACATTGGCGATTGTACTTTAACTTCTCTTTTAATAAAAGCCTTTTCTTGTTAAAAAAAAAACTTGAGCTTGTAATAATATTATCTCACTTCTTGCTTAACAAAAACATTCAAATTTCATTGAACTGCATGTAATGCAAATTTTTTATTCTATACTTTACTATATAATTGTATATATGCGGCATTACATCATAGTCTTTCATAACTATTACCGTCCTCATAAACACCAAAGATAATGAATGAGAAAGTAGCATAGTAGCAAGGTAAATCTTAATTTGAAGGGTAATAAAACAAAAACATGGTGTGTGTTGCATGATTGTGGGGATGGGAAGTAAGGCTAGCTGATAAACAACGATAGAAGATATTATGTGCTAGATTGCACCTTTAAACTTAGTTAGTTGTAACAACAAAGACCACTTATGCAATCATCTCATCCAATATTGTTTTCATTTAATAAAAATAAATAGTACCATATTTATGAATAAAATAAATTAAAAATTGTTTACAAAAATGTAACATCTTAAGTGAAGTGACTATAGTAGTAACTTTAGTAAGAGTAACTTATGTTCAATTTTTACACTTAAGTGATTATGACAAACACTCATAATAATTTTCATCATATTTTTGTAAATAAGTTTTAGGATTATTAGCTTATTTTATCCCAAGCTATTATCAAATTCACAAATCTATCCTATTCTTTCACTTTTATAAAAAAAAAAGACTCAAACTTAATCTTTTTCAACAATTATGCTTTTCTTCTTTGGATTTTTTCAAAATTAAACATTTGCAATACCAAAAAGATACAAGCAATACAAGTTTGTAAACTTAAAACTAGAAAGAATTGAAAAAATATGAAATATAAATATAATTTTGTTCTTAAGTTTTACTAAGTCATCCATTGAAAGTGTAATTGTGATAAAAGTTGAACTTTGAGTCTTTTCTATAAAAGTAAAAGTATGGGATAGATTTGTGAATTTCATGATAGTTGAGGATATATATATATATATATATATATATATATATATATATATATATATATATATATATATATATATATATATATAGGGAACTCTTCCGGTAAGGTATACCTTACCGGAGCCTCCGTGTGGCCTCCACGTTTTGAGGGCCTTCCCGGTGGAATTTTTCGATGAAATTGTTTGAGCATGTTCTTCATCAAGTTTAGTACATCCATACCAAATTTCAGCAAAAAATTCAATCGGGAAGACAGTCAAATGATTTTTTGAAGATAACTGCACCCTTTATATACATATAAAACACAGTTATCTTCCAAAAATCGTTTGACTGCCTTCCCGATTGAATTTTTTTCTGAAATTTGGTATGGATGTACTAGACTTGATGACGAACATGCTCAAACAATTTCATCGAAAAACTCCACCGGGAAGGCCCTCAAAACGTGGAGGCCCTCAAAATTTCATCGAAAAAAGATTTCCTGTATATATATATATAGCTATTAATCCTAAGTTTTATTTCTATAATATTTAAAGGCTTTATGTGTTTCACATAACTTTTTTTCTAAACATGTCATTTTCATTTGGTTAGCATTTTAAATTGAGTAATTAAAATTAATGGTTTACACATATTTATTCACACATTATTACTTTATTGTTATAGCTCCCGGTGGATACAAGAAATAAGTATTAGGTAGCAATTACTTATTAATTAATTAACTAATTGATTTTTTGAAAGGATTGTTTAACTAATTGATTGATTAATCAATTAATTAATAATATAATGGTTAATCGCAAATCTCTCGTGCTAGAGTAAAGCATTGAGTAGAGAAAGAAGAGGACCCTATCAATTTGACTTGATTTCAAGCCATTTGTCCATTTTTGGAAGCCTAATGCCAACACCTTACAATAAGCCCCTTTCTTCTCTCTCTCTCACTATGTTGTTTGTTCCAATTTTCATGCACACAATATCTCAAACCATTTGTAAGCCGTCTCTTCCCTCAAAACATTCACCATATTGATTTGTAGGAGCAGCCCCTCCACAGGGCGCGCACTTGTCACAAGTGCGCGCACGCCCACCACTGTATGATCTCATCATGGCTATCTCTTCTTCGTCACATTTTATCTTGGTTCTTGTCATTTTCCTCCGCTTTATCGCTACTTGTTATAGCAAAACCGAGGCAGAGATCCTTGTAACCTTCAAAGCCTCGTTGGAGAATGCTACGTCGTTGTCCAATTGGGACCCGAGGGGGGCCAGTCCGTGCACCGGGGGTCGCCCCAACTGGTACGGGGTGTTGTGCATACGAGATAGCGTCCACGGCCTTAATTTGAACAATAGGGGACTTGGTGGGACCATTGATGTGGAATCCCTTATGGGATTGAAATCTTTTAGGGTTCTCGGCGCCATGAACAACAGTTTCCAAGGTCCACTACCCAATTTTAAGAAACTTGGGTCTCTTAAATTCTTGTATTTGTCTCGTAACAATTTTTCCGGGGAGATTCCAGATGATGCTTTTTCCGGAATGCAATCGTTGAAGAAAGTTCATTTGGCACACAACCAATTTTCCGGAGCTATTCCTAGCTCATTGGCTACATCCAAAAGGCTTATAGAGTTGATGATTGAAAACAACAACTTTTATGGACAAATACCAAAATTTAATCAAGACCGTTTGACCATTGCTAATTTCTCTAACAATAATCTTGAAGGTGAAATCCCCGCTAAGCTTTCTGGTCTCAAAGCGTCCTCATTCTCAGGTACTATATATAAATTTAAATGAGAATAAAAAATATCATGAACTAGCTTAGTCTCATAATCGATGGAACAATGCATCATCAAAATGTATATAACAGTCTCAAAATGATGTTTATATATTTCACAAGAAACATGTTCAAAAATTAACTTTGATAATTAAATTATGAAACATGTTTCCCAATTTTCCAAATTTGGGTGTAGCATTTGTATGCCGAACGCTTTGATCTACAATGTCAAAGGTTAAACAATAGATTAATAATTTTTGGTTGTATGAAAATAATAAATTACTTCGTAATATACTACGTAGTACAATATTCCAGGTTACTCCGTACGTTCTTTTAATTTAAAGATGGAACACTATATTCTAACAATATCAAATTGTTACACTATTGTATTTTATCACATTACATGTTTTTTTAAACATTGCTTATGTAACATGAGTGTTTTTCTAAAATTTTGTAACAAAGTTTATGGATAAAAGTGCGACTAAACATGATGAGTCCAAAACAAAACATAACCAGTGTCACAATATATTTTTGTCCACTCTTTATCTTAATTATACGCCATCAAATCATAATTATTTATAATTTATATACTACAGGAAACATTGGCCTTTGTGGAAAGCCTTTGGAGCCATGCAAGGCTGATAAACTCGGAGACTCCAATAACTCTCAATTTAAAACATTAATCATTGTTGGAATCGCCGTGTTAGTAGTCATAGCGGTGTCCATTTCCATCATCTTTGCCATGCGCAAGAGACAATCCGATCACAATGAGGATGGCAGCGGGTCAACACGAGCACAGGTGGGCACCCACACGACGGCTGACATGGATAAAATGGAACGAGGCTCCGCTCCTTCTTCAGAGCATCATATTGCCGGTGGTGGAAAGAGGTCAACTGACAATCACGCGACAACTGTTAAGTTATCATTTCTAAGGAGCGAAGAGGCGGGCAAGTTTGACTTGTCTGATCTACTCAAGGCCTCTGCGGAGGTACTGGGCAACGGCATGTTTGGATCGACTTACAAAGCGGGCCTTAGCTCTGGGCCTATGGTGGTTGTGAAGAGGTTTAGACAAATGAGTAATGTAGAGAAGGAGGATTTCATTGAGCACATGAGAAGGTTGGGGAGGTTGAACCACAAGAACTTGCTTCCTATTGTGGCTTTCTACTATAGGAAGGAGGAGAAACTATTGGTCTTTGACTATGTGCAGAATTCAAGCTTGGCTTATCATCTCCATGGTATGTTTAATTTAGTATTACTGCGTACTTGATCATCTGAATCTCAATATATTTTCATTTTATAAGTGAAAATAAATTAAACCTATGCTCATAAAACTCAAAAGAGATTTCTAGTATGGCGCATTGGTAGCAGATTGCAGGTCACTTTTGAGTTCCAACAGCAGTTTTAATGTTGTTTTTACTAAGCGTCAAACGAATAATAGTGCCCACGCCTTCGCAAAGGCATCTATTAGTTACGCTTCTTGCAAAGATTTTTCATATGTTCCCTTTTGTATTCTAGAGACTATAAATAATGAAATGCATTGAATCTCTCTCTTAAAAAAGAGATTTCTAGTCTTTTGTGAATTGTGATGAATTACTATAATTCTAAATAGGGATTATCATCGTGTCTGAAGGAAATGACACATAGTCTCTCATTCATATTAGCATTGTGTGTGAACGAAATGACACAATAGTCTCTTATTCTTTGAAAATTACGATTGTTTTTCTATTAAAAGACACGTTTCATGTTTCCCCGTAATTTTCACATTTCTGTACAACATAAGAACTTATTCCTGTTATATTTGTGATGAATTGGATGTTTCTTCAGGTAAGAAAAGCAATTCAAATCATCAGCAGCAAGACCTGGACTGGCCAACTCGATTGAAAATCATCAAGGGAGTGGCCAGGGGAATGCTTTACCTCTTCAGCGAGCTTCCCAGCATGATTGTTCCCAACGGCCACCTTAAATCCTCCAACGTTCTTCTCGATTCCTCGTACGAGCCTTTAATCACCGACTACGGCCTCTTACCCATCGTCAACCAAGACCACGCCGAGGAGCACATGATCGCCTTCCGGTCGCCGGATTTCAGGCAAGGCGGGCGCCGCCTCTGCCGGAAAACCGACGTATGGTCCCTCGGGACGCTGATTCTCGAAATGTTAACTGGGAAGTTCTCGACCGATGTTGACGTCATTGACTGGGTCCGGTCAACAGTCCCGAACCTGGAGGTTTTATTGGACGAGGGCATGACGGGGGTTACAAAGAACTCCGAGGGCGAAATCGTCAAATTGCTGAGGATAGCGCTTAACTGTTGTGAGGTGCACTTGGAGGAGCGGTGGGACATGAGGGAAGCTGTGGAGAGGATCGAAGAAGTCCGAGAAAGGGACGGTGAGGATGACTTCTACTCTTCCTACACAAGCGACGACGTCCGATCATCCAGAGGCTTATCTGAAGATTTCAATCACGTCCCGCTTAATCTGTGACGTTGAATTTAGTGGTTGGATCGAGAAAATGGATGGCGTCGATGGACTTTTAAGGCTAGTTGAATTTGTGGAAGAATATATTTTTTCAATGGTTCAAGATTTTTTTGGGTTATTATTGCATGGTGGGGATACGATGGGAAATAATATGAATGGGGGATATTTATTAATTTCCTTCATCGAGTTGGATTATTATAAATTTGGAATCGTCACTATGTAATATAAATACGGTATAGTAGAAATCCAGGCATAAATTAAAAGGTGTTAGTTTTTCTTGGTTAATGTTTATTTAGTATTCCCTCCTTCTGGATCTGAATTTCCAAGGAGTGCATTTTGATTTGTCCGAGAAAAATATTTTTTGTACTCTATACTCAAATAGTTTTAGCTTTTTCAATCTTTGAGTTTGTAATTCGATATTATTTTTCCATCATTAAATATGTCATGTGGGATACAAAAGTTACTTTTGTTTTGTTTTCCTTTTTTTAATGATGAATTGACATACATCATTTAAAAATATTTAAGAAATTATTCAGAAAAAGTTGGGAACATAAACATGTGCACAAATAAAAGTTTATATACTTTATTTAGCATTTATAGAAAATTATTAGCAAGAAATTAATTGACTCACTTTTTTCAAAAGTCCCAAAAAATACTTTTTATATTATGTATTTTAATTAGCTTAAAGTATTTTTATTCAACCACGTATTCTATATGAAAAAAAAAGAGGAGGCATATGGATTTCGGCGGCGCCTAATTGGATCGCTATGGCATCGGCGAAATCGTTTCTCCTAGCCTCCTAGGGCAAGCTTTTTTTCCGAATTCGATCATATTGATCGAAGTTCGGCTGTTCTTGTTCGCATATCTGGCCGCGGAGCAGTGGTATGCTTTTGGCTAAGGTAGAGCGATCACGAGTTTTTCTTTCTAGGGCTTTAACTATGTCGGCCGCTGGAGCCATTTTCCGATTTCGACTTTATCGAAGATCGGCTTTGTAACCCTTTGTTGTCCCTTGGTCGCTGGTGCTCGACTGGAGTCCAGGTCAGACGCGGATGGCGGAGATCGGTGGAGGAGGTCAGATTTGTTGTCATGGCTCGAGGAGATCGGCGCTGTGGTCAAGGTTCGGGGATGCGTCGTCGCTGTCGTCGCTGGAGAAGATCGGCGCCGCCTGTCCGCTTACTCTGGTCGCACGGAGCAGGGATGAGTTTGGTTATGCAGGGACGGAGGATTGATGCATGGTCTTTGGCAGCCAAAGGCCGGTCATGGAGGATCAATTAGCATGGTACCAGTGGTACGACCTCCTCCTGAACCACCACCATGGGATGCACGAGGTGCTAGAGTTCGTGAACGTTTTTCTTGTAGTTTTTATCTGTTTGTTATTTGTTTTCTTGCGTCCATTTTTGTTGTTGGGTTTGACAGTTTGTTTGAGTTTTTTGCCTCTCTTTATGTCATTGGGTATGGTTGGATCTATGGAATAGTTTTGGTTGTGTCAAGCCCACTACATGATTAGCGATTTGTGTTGCTCTCTCAGGGGTGACCGTCTCAAAGTCTCACCATAGGGTTACAGTCGTAGTTGTTGGAGTTTCAGTTGGTGTCTGTTTTATTTTCCCTTTGCTTGATGTAATGATCCTGATGAATCTTTTGATATGAATAGATGAATGTTTTGATGATAAAAAAAAATGAAAAAGAGGATGCACTTTAGAAGACGGTAATCAGTCTCCTATCAAGTCCAATCCCAAGGATGCTATTTTAATTCTTCTTCCGTCTCATTGCGACTCTGTTCATTTCTCTTTCCATCGCACAAACTTCAATTACACAATTTTTATTAATAACTTTATTTGCAATTCCACACCCAATATTAAGTTAGCAAAATTGAGTGCGACGGAGGTAATATATTTTTACATAACTCTCTACTATACAAGATTAATTTGATCTTGAGATGTAATTAATAGCCTTATACACACCTTATTGAGCTTGTACATACTTTCGTATACACATTTTATACACACCTTTAATAATAGCCTTCTCAAAAAAGTGTGTATAAAATGTACTATAGTTAGTTAAACAAGAAATTAATAATTGCGTAATCCATCACTGTATGTACTGTCTTGGTTGTGCATGCCTCATTGCCTTGCCCGATGAAGATCTTGCTTTCCATCATCTTCTGGTACATAATAGGAGGAGAAAAAGTCAAGTTTAAATACTTTCAAATATATATTTCAGTCCATTCTTTTTTAGTTCAATGATTTAATTTTAACGTTTTAAAACGCACAAGTTTGACTATTAATATATGTAATTCCTTATTAGTAAAAAAACCAGATTTGAAATTTAAAACGAGAGAAATTTAATAATATTTTTCAAAATTTTAATTTATATGAGTAATCCATTAATAAATACTTCCTCCGTTCTTTTTTAGTAGCAACGGTCAACATTTCACACTTGCCAACGCACGTCTTTAACCGAAATTATATCTTAATCTCCATTAGTAAAAAATAATTAAAAATCAGATTTTGAAAGTTTGTAATGAGATGAATTGTACAATATTTTTTTAAAAAAATACCGTAAAATGTAGTCAAAGTAGAATATGTGAATAGTATAAAATTCAACATGTTGCGATTAAAAAAACGGAGGATAGTAAAATGTAATCAAAGTAGAACATGTGAATCACGTAAAATTCATTAAAGTTGCAACAAAAAAAGAACGTAAGTATTATATATATGGAAAAAGAAAAATAACTAGTTTACCTTTTAATTTACTGAACAAGCGAGCTTGACATTTGGATTTTTTAATGGTTTGAGTGAGGAAAAACTCCACAAAAAATCCTCCTTCACACTACTCTTGATGACATTTTGATTTTTTGGCTTCTCAAGAAGTCCATATTCTATCAACCAATGCATGGCAGTGACCCTATGCTTTTCGGTGTCCCACACATTTCCCTTCCGCCCACCGTCTCCACCCCTCACTTTTATACCCCCAATATTCAACCCCTGTACTTTATACCTCTTCTCTCCATCATCATACTTAATATTATTATTATGAGGCAACGGTTTCATGCAGTAATCAGCTTGAATATGTACAATCATCGGACCTCCGACGCTCTCATATTGCCTCAATGGGTCCCGCAGTTGGACAACAAAACATATCATTATGCTCTCACCACCACCACCACCACCACCACCACCACCACCATCTTTTATTAGCCATTCAGGCAGTGGAACCGCACGCGCGAGTAGGAACAAGTCTTCTTCTTCGTTTTCTTTTGAATACTTTTGATTACTGTTATACGATTGTGGTGAAACATCATCAAGTGGTGCGGTTTCTTCATCAACGCCTGCTTGAACTTTGAGGGCGTCAATTGTAATTTCATTGACATTCTGAACCGCGAATGCTAAAAGCTCTTCCATTGTCAAAGGCTCATCCTCCTCCTCCATGTTTTGTGTACTTCTATTTCTTTTGTTTGCCATGACTGCACCAAATGTGCGGCGGATTTGCGGCTACCACATGCATACATACACATGATTGTTATTCATACAATTATGTGACTATATTGAGCCCAAAGAGTGACGACTACTTTTACACGTGTAGTATGTGACAATCATAATAATAAAATGGGATCAGAAATAGCAAATTATGAATGTTTATTATGTCACATACCTCCATTGATATGCTTACCAATAATGATGTATAGAAAATTATTTTTTTAAAACGTATATCGTCCTATTTTTGAATTTTGTGCATGTTTTTAATCAACTTACTGCTTTATTGAAAAATTTCTATAATGATATATCTTTTCTCTTCATTTCCTTTCTCCATTACGTGTTGTTTTTATGAGATAATTTCCTAAATAGGAGAAACACATTGCAAATTTTCTCAAATAAGAGTTGAATTGTTTTCTTTAGAAAATAGGGCTCATGCAATCCTATTTGGGGAAGTTGAATTATTTCTCAAATATTTATTCATTTATTTTTTTAATAAACATTTTTTGGGGAAGAAAATATACATGATCCTATTTTAAAACATTGTCTATGTTTTATTCCTATTTGGCTGGGATTGAAGTTGATTAATTGGTCTCCATCATCATGTCAGTTTTACTTCTTACTCTAATTTTGTTTGTACATTACATATTTTGTTCTTTAGGATGTTATTTTCTAATATGGTAATGTTTGATCTGATTTGGTCTGGTTTGTTTAAGTATGGTCTGATCTAAATTGGTGCGAGTTGGTGAGCCAGATGTCTATTCAATGTATATTTTACAACTTTCAAAATCTAATTTGATTTGTTTGGTTCTGTTCTAGCCTGGTTTGATCTGGGATTGATACATGTCCAATTAAAAACATTCTAAACTCATTTAAGAAGTAAGGAATACGGAGTATGAAATACTAGTGATGTTTTACATAAATTTTGCCTCTACGATAAAATGTAATAATATTAGAGTTATATTGCAATAACAATAGGAATATATGGGTAAAGTTTAAGAGGTCCATTGGTATTTATTGTATAATTAATTGATGATATTTGTTTATGGTATAAATACTTCAAATTTTGAACCACACACTACACATATACATATCGGGATTTCAATTTTTTGTACTACGTGTGGGTGGGATGGGTTGGCGCGCAAGCTATAAGGAAAATAAGATTGTGAAACTTACAAAAGAGTATGCATTTGATGTAGTGGTGGTTGGGCCCTCCTCCTCCAAGTTCCTTATTCGGACATGACTATTGATTTGGGAAGCAATGCCTTCAAAAGCGATCTGCTCTGCAGTCTTGCCTTGGAGATCATCCATAGGCATGAAATGTAAAACATTAGAGCTGATGTCTTCAAGTCCAAAAGCCGCCATCCTTCGGAAAAACTGAATCCCATCCATTGGTGTGGGAGAAGGAAGAAGAACAAGTGGTTGTGACAGCTGCATTGCGAGTTTTGGGGCTTCTGTTGTCGTCGCTCCAACATTCGACATCCGTTTGATGGAACTCGGAAAGTACTGGTCGGCCAGGCCGGGATAGGTACACCAAATAAACATATGTTAGAACAGCGTCGTGCAAATGTTAATAACTGATGATGAATAAAGAAATTTTGTGTTGAATTATTTCTTGCACTAACAAAATATGACCTAATAACTATCATAAGATTTCATCCTACTCCTATGAGTTTGGCCTGTTAAAATGGAATCCTAAGGTTTTGAAAATGATATCACAGCTAACGTGATCCATAATCATGATATGGGGACCCTATGCAAAACTATAAACTGACAATCATGAACCGATGAAAAAATGAACGAATGAATGATGACTCGATCTAGACAATATGTATGTGTCTGATCATGAATGAGATCTTTGAAGTATTTTTCATGCGGTTAAAATATGAACGACATAGTAATAAACTATTACATAGATGATAGATTCCCTCATGCATATTAGCTGGAAACATATAAAGGACATGCATACATACCCTCAGGGGATCCATAGATGCAAGGTAGCCCCCTTTCCTTGTTTGAACAACGCAACCCAACCCCTCCCCAAGATCAGGTGGTACGAAGATATGTAGTCGTTCGGATGCATCGCTATTATGAACTAAATCCTTCTCATCCTCCTCCACCTCCTCCTCTTCCTCTTCAAGCATTTTAATAAATTCTCTTGTGACAATTTCCTCCTCTTCTCTACTGTCCACCCCTCCTTCTGGTATGTTATCAATGTTTGATGATGAGAAGATGGATTCAAAAGATTTGATTGGTTCAGTATTGGAATCAAGCATTTGAATAAATTCTCTTGTAACGGTTTCTTCTTCTTCTTCTTCACTGTCTAGTCTTCCTTCTTCTGACATGCTATCAGTGTATGATGATGAGAAGATAGACTCGAGGGATGTGATTCGTTGAGAGATAGAATCAAGCACTTTCAATCTGTAGCAGCTACTGAGACAATGAAAGAGCTGATGAGGTTCATTCGAAAGTATCATAGACGACGAAGCCCATTCATCGACGGGGGCCTGCTGTTGTTGCTCAACTCCCTTATCCACCACATCAAACTCAAGAAACATGTCATCACCATCCTCTACCCCTTTTTCATCACCACTTTCACTTACATTACTGTCATAATTTTGGTTCACCTCATCCAACATTCTCTCCACATTGTTATCCAACATTAATAACTTCTTAGAATCCAGTGCTCCCCCGCTGCCATTGCTTGAGACACTAAAGCAGTCTTTAGACTGTCTCCGGGCAAACTCATAAGGCGGTCCATATTCTCCCTTCTTCTTTATCATCCACATATCTGCTGCTAACCTTCTGCCTTCACTAGTAGTGTAAATTTCAATGCTTTTTCTTCCATCATCTTTTTCCATTATCTGAAACCATAGTTTCAGAAAAAGCTTTCCACCCCAAGCTTTTTCAGATGACATGTTAATGCTCATATCCCACTGTCGTACTCTTATACCTGCATGTACATATGTATGTTTGACATAGGAGTAAATCATGGGTAATGTTTAAAAATAGGACTAAATACTTTTTATTTTCAAAATAAAAGTTATTTGATCATATAAAAAGAATAAAGTGTGAGAAGTTCCCGGAATTGAGTTGAGCTATATTGCACGAAAGCGCGAAAGTCATGAGGAAACGGGAAGTAGGAATTTTTGACCAAAAAATGCGAGAGTTTGCAAAGAGTTTCCCGAGAAACGTACTGTTTCCCGAGAATTTCCGTACTATATGATATGAGTAAATAGACTAGTACCTTGAAAGCTCTTATCTATTGATTCCTGTATTAATTGGCTTAAATCCACAGAGCTTCTTCCAAGCTCAAGCTGCAGCTTCCGGCCGCCGCCGCCGTCCCCTGTTTCTGCTAAGGAGGAAGACGCGAATACACTTATGAAAAAGGGGCGGGGCTCAAATATGAGGCGGGTCCCGCCTCGGCCGCCACCGAAATACACGTGGCACATCACGAATAGCGTCTCCCCAAAGTCAGCGGCTCCATTTGAAACTGTGGACGGGACTGTCCGCGCCGTCATCCTCGCCGTCTCCTTCTTCCGGACACAAACTGTGAGGCGTTGACCGTCCATTGACGTGGGAAGGCCTCGAACCGCCGCCACTTCCACGCAGAACAGGCAGCTGAGCTTGTGCGGCGGATGACGGAGGATCCGGGACAGTGCCCGCCGCACGGGCAGCTTCCAGCTCCCTCCTCCTCTGCTCTCCTCATCACGCCGCCGCAAGCGGGACGTCATGTCTCTAAAACTGACCCGTTTACGGCGGACCACTTCCCCCTCCCCTGCCTCCTCCTCCTCATTCTTGCGGCGGGTGGTGGAAGCTACGGCGCCGGCGCCGGCGCCGGAGAGGTCGTGATGAGATAGATCGAGGGACGCACTTAATGCTTCCAGCTCCCGGAGGAGCTGTAAACTGTTGTAACTTCTTGGGGTCGTTTGCTCTTCCATGTTTATTTTCTGGATTAGTGAAAGTGTGAAACAGAGGTTTCCTGATTTTCTTCATTAACTAGCCGACAGTAATTAGTAAGGTTAGATGGATCAGCTATATAGTTGGACGCCTGTCTCCTTGGACCTTTCTCAACCAATTATTTTATACCACATTAATGTGTGAACTTGTGAAGAATATGGTAACTACGTTTCATGTTCTTTAAATAAAATAAATAAATTAATTAAAAATGAATAAATAAATAAATACAACTTTTGTATTCTTTTATTTGTTACATAGCAATGGCGGAGTCAGAAATGAGAGGTTAGGTTGATCAGAGCTTAAGAAATTTTATACTAGGAATCAAAACTTAAAATTTCACCATGTTTTTTACTGCCTATAAATATTTGTACATATGTGTATACATTACAAAAAAAATCTCGAAGGGGCCAGGCCCACGCCAGCCCCTATCTCCACCTCGGTACATTAGTTTCTTCACAAAGTTTAAAGTTAAAATAATAGAAGTAATGAATAATGTAGAAAACATTGGAGTGGATGAAAAACTTTAACAGACATGATGAAAATGTTAAAAAAGTAAATTAATTAAGTTGTTTTAAATGTGAAACGTGCCAAAAAAGAGAAAATGTTGCAAAAAATAAAATACTTCTCAAAAAGAGAAGTGTACCGAAAAAGAATACGGAGGAAGTATATGTATATTCTTTTCTTTAAACCCGATAGGTTTTCCATCAAAATAAGTGGATAAATGTAGCGGAACATGTGTATCAAATTTTATTCAAAAATAAAGGAAAAATTAAAAGAATATAAAATGAAAGGGGCATAAGACTAAGTACTCTGTAGAGAAGGCATATAACTTCCTAAAAGCAACATTAGCCACAATGTTAATGAAATAACTGGATAATTTCCATCAAAGAAATGGATGTCAATGAGATACATATAATGTAGCTCCATTTTATGAGAGTATGCCAGCCGCGACTAAATGAGAGCAGTGGTGGATCTTGCAATCAGATTTTGAGTGTTCAAAATGATTTTACCATTAAGATATTACAAAAAAAATATTACATCAATTCTTGACATGTATTTTTGTATTGTATTTTTAAAATTTTGGGTGTTCACTTGAACACCCTGAACAAAGTAGATCCGCCCCTGAACGAGAGGTGTGAAAATAATAATCCTTACAAATTTAGAATGAAAAAGCTATTGTGTTGACCTGAATTGAAGAAGTTCATAAATAATACTAGTAAATTTATCATCCTTTTACTCTTATGTAGGCCAAGTGATATGCTAATAATCAACTAGGATGTGAAATATAATAATGAAAAACACTGAAAAAATGTGAAATATACATAATTAAATAAATCTCATGAGTAGAACTTTATGTGATAGATCGAATAGGATTCGAGATTGGAATTACCCCGGAATGAATGGATTCAAATGCAATTACTATGCAAAATGGGAACATCTATTTTATTATTCAATGGTTAGAGATATAATACAATTTTCTTTTGGAGAAATATATAACATTTATTATGTATGAATAAACTAAAACAGTTTCTATTTACATACTATCGTATATACGACTTTATAACACCAAGGAACACACACGAACAAGAAAAGAAAACAAGTTACAAATAAAAACAGGTAAGGTGAAAATATATTTATTTATGATAAAAGAGACAAATAAGCCCTCAAACTATTTGCGATTCTGCAATCAGGCCCTTGAACCGGAAGACTTGCAAATACACCCTTCAACTCGTTGAAAATTAAGCAATCAGATCATTTTTTACCTGCTGGTGCAGGTAAGGTGATAAGAAATTACCGGCACCAGCAGGTAAAAATGATCTGATTGCTTAATTTTCAACGAGTTGAGGGGTGTATCTACAAGTCTTCCTGTTCGTGGGCCTGATTGCAAATACGCAAATAGTTTCAGCGCTAATTTGCCCATTTTTCTTTATTTATGATAATAAGGAGATTGAATCATGAATTTAGTGAGCATTCTAGCGGGAAGCCTTGCGGGAAGCGTTTGGCATCACTGCAATAGTTGTAGACCATGTAATTCTTTTGCACCCATTTGATTCTCCCTTGCCCGCTGTTATCTAGCGACTCAACCAGCCACGGATTGGCTGATGGGTTTTTTGAGCAAGAACTTGATGCTGGGCCGCTCCAAACACAGGCTTGGGCCGTGTAGTTGCTGTATGAGGCTACAAATGGGGCTTGGCTCCAATCAGTCTTCACCAGCCCACCTCTTGTGGCCCATTCTTCTGCATCCCATAGGCTTCCATAAACCCACATTGGTTGGTCTTGTGGGTATGGGATCCCATTTGATCCTAAATTCTTGAATTGCCTAATAGGGGTCCCATCTACTGTAAATCTGCCAAAATTAATTAATTGTCGTACATAAATTAATAATGCATTCCTTTATGATTATACTATTTCATGAAAAAGAAAGCATATAAAACAAAACTTTTTCTAACAATTAGGTATTAACGATAAAAAAACAATTAAGTATTAATTAATCAAGTGCTTTGGTAATGGCACCACACGGAGAATAATATAATGACACTTTTAAATACAATACGTAGTATATTAAAAAACGTTTAGTTCTGAGAAAAATCATTTCATTCTATGATAGAATGAATTGAAGTGAATTATTGTACCTTTTTTATGATTTTAAAATTCCAGCAGTTCATGTTTTTTATGACATATTTTCAGACAATACATAAATTAATGTACGCGTGTAGAACACGAATTATTCATTTGGACGGATTATAGACCAACTATGCCCCAATGAGAAAGAATTACTGTATAAAATAAGACTTGTCCATACCAAAAACGGCAATCAGCTATCTCTATGAAATCAGAAATAGACAAAAAATCTGAAAACCTCAGTTTGGAATCGTTCTTATGTACGAAGCATTTGATTTTATAAGCACATTTGGTATAAAAAAAAGGTGACAACTCTGGTACCTATTTAAAAAATGGGGTACGGTACCTACCATTCACTTGATTGGTCCACATCATGATATCATTTTTAATTTTGATTATTTAAATAATTCAACTGCAACATTCTTATTGGTCCATGTGGACAAAGGTACGGTACCTTATGGGTACCATAAAATCTACCTTTAGATAAATAGTGCATAGACGCTTCAATTTGTTTATTATTAAACATGCACGACATTCATTCCAGATGCCTACTTGGTTCCTATTAAATGACAAGATTTTTTTTGACAACGTATTAAAGGAGTCTAAGGAGTGTTTGCAATTGCTTCAACTTTAAAAAAGTGATTTTTTAAAGTGATTTTGTGAAAAATGATTAATAGTAAAAGTTGGTAGTGTTTGAGAAAAAAGTGGTTCTGGAAAAGTAAGAGTTGGTAGTGTTTGGTAAAATAAGTACTTTTTGTGTAATAGAAAAAGTGAGAAGCAGTTTAAAGCACTCTTCTACCTGCTTCCAGCTTTTAGCTTTTAAGTGATTAATTTAAGCAGAAGCTGTCATTTGAAAACACTCTTTTCAACTTTTTTTAAGCCAAAAGCTGAAAAACGCTTTTTTTAAGCAAACCCAAACACTCCTTAAATGACAAGAAGTGAATAATAATTATAAATTTACGAGTACAAATGCTTTTAATTTGAATGAATTTTTCTAATCTAATATGATCAGTATAAATCTCACATCTAATCTGATAGACATTATTTATGTGTATTTTACTACTGTCAAATGGTCTAATGATATAAATTAATCTAGTCTCATTCGATCTGGGATAGTAATAAGTTCAATTAAAAACATCAATTATTATACGAAGTATATTAGAAGCATATGAGATAGTTATTACTCTCTCCATCTCTTAAAACTTTGCCATCTTTTTCTTTTAGGTCGTCTCAAAAAACTTTATCATCACTTTATCTTTTAATCTATTATTTTGTGGTTTCTGTTATTTATCTCTCATCTGCACAAACTTCAAACACACATTTTTCACTTTATTATTTTTCGAGTGTAAAGTTTTAAGGGATATTACTCTGCATAAAGTGGGATGCACATACATGATGCTTTGAGGGTTCCAAAGGATGGAGTAGGTGTGGAAGTCCTTAGTAGGGTCAAACCAAAGGTAGAACTGTTGTTCCCTTCCACCCTTCCCTTGCGTGAAGACATTTGTATGGAGAACGTAAGGATCCCCACTTGCGTTCCCTAGAAACTCAAAGTCAATCTCATCGTGCGCCGATCCCAATGAAGACAACTGCGCCATTCCAATAATCAAACCATCATTAAACCTCACCAATCACCATCTATATATACACTCGCTCTAGGGTTTAGCACCGGTCAAGACCGGACCAGTCCGGACCGAACCCGACCGGACCAGTCCGGACCGAACCCGACCAGACTTCATCCACATGAATCAATTAAAATAAGGAGCATATTGTTCGTAATTGAATAATTTAGATATAAATAATAATGATATAATGATTTGGACCATTAAAGTTGAGTAGGATACCTCAACTTTATATGGGTAGCCTAACAACATTTTATTCAAATATTGTCACTGGGAGTCAATGATCCTTAACGTTTAACCATTAATTATTCAAACACAATTATCCCAATTAATCAACCTACTTTTTGCACAATTTTTTAATCAATATTATTGATGTGATAGGGTATTGCACATAGACTCTATACGATAATAGTCTTAAAAAAGGATGGTCAAACAATAATTAAAGGAACTTTCAAAGTGACCATTTTGTTCTTTGTTTTTCAAAACTAAACAACCAGGAAAAGTAGAAAATGCTTAATTCAGCACTAAGACACATACACAAAATTTTAAAAATATAACCAAGTACTACGTATGTTTTTCTCCAAAAAAGTCCTACTTTGCATTCCATTTTTGTGGCATTGAACTTTGCACCATACTTTAAAAAACCATTAATGTATCCATTCCGTTTATTAGCATAAACTCATTTGACTGTGCATACATTAATTAATGATTAATCCATGTGTCCCGAAATTAACTTCCGGGTTTTTAGGTGAGAAAAAACAAAAGTTAGCTTTCCAAGGGTATCGTTGCATAGTACAGAAAAGTAGTGATCCAAATTAACTAAAGGCAGGTAAATGTATACTACTCCGTAAAAGTTAAAGGACAAATGAGTACATTGAAAGCAAAAACTTACCTAAGGTAGAAATAAAGTAAAATAGGAAGTCAATCAAAAGTCAAATTAGTAATACTTGGTGGTGCTAATCACTTACGTAGAAAGTCGTGACCGTGCCGGCGGAGTTACCGGGCACAAGTTTGAGCTTCATCTCAATCTTCCCATACAAATATTGATTCTTTGACCGGAAACCGGAGCCGGAAGCCTTGTCCATTGACAGCGTCAGCAGCTGCCCTTGTCCGTCTATTTTTGCGCGCCCTTCTCCCCACGTAATATCCACCTCGTTGTTGAAGTTACCGGCGGCCACACCTGACGGCGCCGCCAGTCCCAACAACAATAATAGGAATCCCACAACCGGCACCATCCGTCCACCTCCCGGTGTAGCCGCCATCGTGATTTTATTTATTTAAACTAATTTAATAAATAATTTGGTTTGTCACGTATGTATATATATATATATACGGAGTATATTACGGAGTATTAGCTATAATGAGAAAGGGGATAATGATAGGGTATATATCTATATCTATCTATATGTATGTATATATTTGTACGTGTTGAGTGCATGAAAATGGCGTAGCAGCAGCCCTCATATATATACAGATCGACACGTACGTAGTTCAGTAGTTGCACGTAAAAAGTTCACCCACCATATCGATAGATTGTGTGTGCATGCATTCTTTACTCCCAATTATGTATTGCTGATTTGGCGCTAGTGAAATATTTCGTGCTTTAATTTCCTGTTAATTAATTAGGAGTATCAAAGATGTTTTTGTTTAACTGATTTCAATTGTACATCACACCAGATAAGACCAAAATATAATACTCCTTTCGGCAACCAAGCATTCCAGCCCAATTGGTTGTAAAGTTACCGTGCCTAATGAGAGAGGCTTCGAATTCGAAACCCGCTAGGCACATAAGGGTTCGAAACCCAATGGGCTGAGTTTCAGCCGTGATTACTTCAGGCCCCCCAACCCTCTCACCCAGACCCCCTGGAGTAATAACAATAATAATAATACTCCCTCCGTCCCAATTTGATGCTGACGTTGCGATTTACTACGTATGATGTTTGACCGACGATGAAAAACGAATCCTTATCCTCACTCAAATTAGTTTTGGGAAAAAATTACTTATTCCGAAATACATTAAAAAATTTACAAAGTCGCAAATACCAAAATAAAATTTGATAAAATTTCGATACATAAAGTAAAAGATTAAGAGTAATTTGTGTTGACCGAATGACTAACAACTTGTACCATCAAGTTGGGAGTTGGGACGGAGGTAATAAATACTTTGATAGTTTTAAAATATACATGACCAGACGTCTGCCACAACAACAGACTAGACAATATTTAAACAAACCGACCAGCTCATCCAGTCCAATACTCCAATTACAAACATTCTAGCCAACGAATTACCTTTTTTTCAAAATTTAAAACTAACCTTATTGAGTTTGAAAAAAATATACTTCGTACATTCTAGTATACAAGTATATTCTTAAGAGGATTTCGCTTCCATAATTATCCTTTATTTTACATGATATTTTCTTTCCCTAGTCTTATTCTTCCAAACGGACCCTTATGGTGTTTGAACGGGACATCCCACACGCTATCTCCGAAAGATAAGCTTAATTGTCATATCTGCTTGCTTCTAATCCCAATCTTATGGTACGTAGATATGACTGGTCTAATAAATCCCAATTCTAATTATTGGGGAAGAGCCTTACCGCCAGGGGCGAACCGTAGAAGAGACCCAGGAGGGCCATGGCCCCTGCAACAACAAAAAAATTAGTATATATATATACGAATTTTTTTTTTATTCAACCTTATTGTTTATATTGAAAGAGAAATTGCTAAAAGTTTTGATTCAAAAGTCGTGATTGAGGAATTTATCTCGTTGAAGGAGCGTCGGGCACAATCTAAGGTACCAACTGTTTTCTTTTGTCATAATATATTTGTCTCTTCATCTATTTTTGCCTATTGTGTACTATTTTAATGCTTCATTTTATTACTATTATATAAAGGTCATATTAACTTATAATAGCGAGCGCCTATAATTTTTTGGTTTAAATAATGGCCCTGGCAAGATTAATTTTCTGGGTCCGCCCCTACTTACAGCGTTATCCTTTTAAGGTTACGGAGTATTTCCCTATTTTGGCCTTGATTTTAACTATAGGACAAATAGGATCTATATACATCTCACGCTCTCAGTTGGATTCAAAGGGGTTGTCAATACATGTTTTTAATTGGACGGTAATTTTGTTGTCTGGACCATTTTGGTATATTCTGTTTAAGCTCGTACTAGTCTGGTCGAGTCGTAACTAGTCCGATATGATAAATATTTGTTTTATGTGTACTTTGTAATGTGTCAAGGACTGATCTGATATGATTTGGTCTATTTAATTTGGCTATAATATAAGACTGAAGTAGCCATCTTCAACAAATTTAAGCAATTCAGTCAGAAAACAGTTAAGTCCTTATTTATTTTAATTATTATTGCATATAATTTTTGTGAACAGAATCAAAAAATTTGTAGGTGTATAGTACTCCGTAATAACATTGATTGATGAGACAGACATACAAACATAAAACATAGGCTATCAAATGGGCATGAGATTGAGCACTAGTATGATTTGAGCTACTCCGTATATTTTCGGACAATAGTAGTTTGTGACTGGATTATATTCCTAATAATTTGATTTGAATTTGGGGTACATTACAATCAATTGCGTTGTACTTTACCTAAGAATTTGGTTGATTTATGCCATAGCCACTTGGAGAAACATGACCTTCGTCAACTTATAATACGATAAAAGTAAAATGCATTGTGATTTGTGGAAGACTTTGAAGTGTTGATATATAGTCAATACTTCTATTGAGAAACTTTGAAGCACTAAAAAATACTATGTATATGGGAAGTTTATTAAATTCTGTATTCGTGAGTCTAAATTAAATATAGAACATTAACTACTGCAATTACAAGATTTGAATCATATTATAATTATCAAATTAATCGACAATTGGCCTGGGTAGACTATTAATAATAATTGGAATAAAAGCTAATGCATGATACAAACATGTATAAAAAATGATTGTTGTACACACATTTGTACACACATATATACACACTATAAAAAGTCTTTATTTTTTTTTACCTTCTTTACTTTTTTTTACCCTTTCCCTTCTCATTCCCTTCTCTCACATCCCTTCTGATACGCATCTCACCCTCATTCCTCTCCTTTTTCTTTTTCCTCCCTTCCCATTTCATTTGTTCATTTTTTCCATCCGCCATATAGTTGCCACTGGAATCGGCGCAGGCGGCGAGGATGAAACAGTCCGCTCAAACAAGAAGTTCAGATCAATCAGCCCATAAATTGAGGTAAGCTATTCGGTTTTTCTATATGCACTTTAGGATTTTGTTTGTTTAAAATTTCTAATTGTTTGTATGGTATAACAATGAGTAGTTGAATATTTTGTATTATTGTGATAGAATGTAGGGTTAATAATTGAAATTTTAATTCAATTATTGTATTTCACATTTATGCTCATAACATGTTTGTTGAAATGCCTCAATGATTTTTTTTGTTTAAATCTAAAACTTTTACTCTCCTTTTTTGTTTTTCTTTAGACTTGATCTTTTTTTTCAACACACTGGTCCGTTTTTCTTAACTAGTTCAAAATCTAAATTTCTTGTTTCCCATAAGGGTATATCAATTTCATATACGTTTTTGGCTTTTAACCTGATGTTTTCATCAAAAGAGTTCATTCTTTTCACTTGTGTTCAAATGTGGAACTGGTTTGATTATTATATTTGTATATGTTTACCAAGTATATTATTAAATCATGGTATTCTGTAGCTACTGATATCTGCTATTTTTGCTTTGATGAGTTAATACTTAAGCTTCAATCTTTCTACCCCACTGCTCTCTTTTCATGCTTAAAATGCTGGTATTATCACTATGTCATTAATTTCGTATCATTTTCCAATTGTTTGATATCATTTTAGGCGGTCAACAGTTATGATACAGATATTCTAGTATTTTACCAACTTAGTTGTGAATATAGTTTTAAGTTTCAATCCTAAAATTTGCATTTCTTATATTCTATCAACTGTTTATAGCATGGCAGGTGTGGGAATTGGATATTACATGAGTTTTTCAGTCACAACTATCATAATCCTTGTTTAAGAATTAGAAAATTATCCATTGTGTTGGATAAAATTTATGTTCGTTTTCTTTTAAGTAGCCTTTCAATTCTCCAATTTCCATTTTTACTTTCAATCATCTAAACTCTGTTTATGTTTTTATTTGCTAATTTCCATTCTATAAACTAATTCTTCATGAAATTAAAAATCGTATAAAACCCTTGAGGTTAGTATGGCTAGTTGTCAATACATTGTTTCTTTGTAGGTTGCTAGCTAGCTATAACTTGTTTGATTTGTTATAATTATTACTACTCACATGATTGTGTTTACATGACTGACAATATACATCACAGTTGGGACGAGTCAAATGCAAATGTTAATGAAGTCATTTCCCTCGCTAAAGAGCTTCCTTACAGTTTGTTCAGGAAGAGGTGGCTGAGGGACGACATTAAGAACATTACATATGTTGTTTACCTTTATTATTATATTAGTTCTTGTAATAGTCACTTTGTAAGGTAATGTTCTTGTATTCAGTATGTAACTGTATTTAGAGTGTAAAATTGAAGTATCCTAGAATGTACTACCCAAATGTTACCTAGAAAATAATTGCCTGTGTGTTCGTTTATATTGTCTGCGAGTGGTGAAAACATTGTCTGTGTGTTCGTTTATTTTGTCTGTGCATTGAAAATAATATTTATATGTTCGTTTATATTGTTTGTGCATGGTTAAAACATTATTTGAATATTCATTTATGTTATCTGTGAGCAAAAAATAATGTCTGTGTACATTTATTTTGTCTGTGCATAGTTGAACCATCCTCTATATCTTCATTTATATTGTGTCATTTGTGTGTGAATAGGGATGGACTCGGGCAGGGCGGCCCGCCCCGGAACCGGCCCGGCCCGGCCACTGTAGCAACCGGCCCGGCCCGGTGGCCCGGTCCAACGGCGGTTTGGGTCGAACCAGCCCGGTGGATACCGGTTCCGGGCCCGGGCCCTCCATTTGGTGAACCGGCCCGGCCGGTTCGGGCCCGGTCCGGGCCGGAATAATTTTTTTCTTTTTTTTTGAATTTTTTTTTAAGTTTTGGGTTGGATTAGGTATTTTGGGCCATTTTAGGTGGTTTGGGGTGGTTTGGGGTTGAGGGGGAGGGATAGGGGGTTAAATAAGAGAAGCAAAAAAAAAATTATGACCCGAGTGGCCCGGTCTGGCCCGGAACCGGCCCGGAACCGGGAGCCACCGGTTCGGGTCCGGGCCCTCCATTTGGTGAACCGAGGCCCGGCCGGTTCAAGGCCCGAACCGGGCCCGGCCCGAACCGAGTCCACCCATATGTGTGATTCGTGTGAATGGTTAAAGCATTTTGTGTTTATTCACTTACTTGAATTTATTTTGTCTGTACGTAGACAACTTACCTATAACAAGTTACCAAAATGAGTATAGATAACAATTTGGTTTTTCAATTAACTTACAACATGTATTAATCAGAGAACTTCAATTCCTTCCA